TAAGGTTGAGAACATCTTTTGGGAAAGCAAGGCTATGTGCAATTCAATGGAATAGGAAGAATACTTCTCAATAAATGTTTCTCTGCTACCCTTTATTATATGGTCTCGTGGAGACCTTGACAACTAAACTTGGAATTCCATCTGTTTCTTCAAGCGCACCTCGAGTGTCTTTTAATTCACAAAATAGTATAAATAACCGATCATAAAAATTAGCCTATACCGGCATGTAATTGGCATTTGACAGCAGATGACAAGCATAATCATTCCATTAGGAAATAAGTGAAATCAAAGAAAGAATGAATATTACAAAGGGGTCCAAACGGATTTTAAATATCCTTTTCTAGTGTCATAACAAGTGGATGATCTGGAGGAGGCATGAACCCATTTGGGTTAGGCTGAAGAGACAAGACAGACTTGGCTACTTTTTTATTTCTGTCATAGTCAAAGCTTTATTTGAGTGCAAATCTGGTGAAAAATTTTCGAATAAAATATATACAAGACAGGCTCAGATGGGGCCAGTTACTAAAAATGATGCAACCATGGAGAAAAGCAAACCCTATAGCTCTGGTGGTTTGGTGCCAACATCAATGAGGAAGCGAGTGAACAAGCCCTCTTCGATCGTTTGCACGAGTGTATAATTGGCCGTGTTGAGACCGTCAGTCTTGTAGCGCGTCTTGATTGTATGAAAGAAGACTGGACAGCGCCACGTGCGTATGTGCTTGTCGTGGGCACTCTTGTGGCCCAAAGCGAAATAGCGCAAATGTCGCAACAACAAGCGACGGTAGTGGCCGTTGATGCGCATCTCCAATTCGTCATCTTCGCCGCCCCAACGCCAAAAGACGTTGGAGTAGCCGTTCGCCTCGATGTAATGCTCTCGACGGATCTTCAACACTCCACCAATCAGACTAGAGTAGGGCAAGATGTAGTTGAATGTGCTCACGCTCCAGGCCATGTGGATGGCCGTGCGTGTGCCCAGATCGTTGCAGCCGTACCAGATGCCGTCATGCTCCGGCACCAGGTCGGTGTCGTGAAAGATGATACAGTCGAAGCGGAACAGCTTGCTCGCCTCCAGAAAGCCGGCGTTGTTCAGCTTGCCCTTGTTGAAGCCGGACACGCCGACCTGTTCGGCCACGAAGATGCGATAGCACAGCCGTTGCCGACGCAACACGCGCAGCAACACGAAGAGGCAGGTGAGCAGTTGCGGCCATCGGTTGCGGAAGGGAAAGACGATGGCCACGCCGCCGGGCCTGAGTCGGAGACAGGTCGAGTGAGCCGGCGCCCAGCCACCGCCGGCCTGATAGGAGGCGAAATGTTGGTACAGCACGTCGGCATGCGTCACCATCCGGTCGGGCAGACTGAGTCGACCCAAGCGTTTCTCGGGCCGGTACTGGCTGGCCGTCTGCAAGAGGAAGCTGTGATGCGTCTGGCACAAATAGTTGCACGACTGTTGCATCCCGTTGCCGAGGCGAGAGGCCGACATCAGACCGCGTAGCAACACCGACCTCTCCTCGTCCGTCTTGGCCGTGGACACGTTGGTTGCCAGGTAGCGCAACAGCATCTCCATGCGCACCAGTTTGGGCATTCGCGTGATCCGATGCGGCTTGAGAAAGCGCACCTCGCCGGCGTCACGCGGCCCGGCGTCGTCGCGGCCCGACGGCTCCTCGGACAGCCGATGGCTGTGGCCGGCGGTCTCGGCCGCGACCGGACTCGAACCCGACGACGTGAGGACACCGGCCAAGCCGTCTCGCCTCGTGGCCGTCTTGATGCGCAAGTTCAGCTGGTACAAGACCAGATTGAGGAGGAGAAGAGCGATGAGGAAGCCCACAATGCAAGTGCGTCTGTGGTTGCTTGGCATCGCAGCGTCCGGTAGATTGGCGCTGTCGAGGACAGTCGTGCCATTCCAAGCCGCCAGACTCGCAGGCCGTCTGGCGCCCAAGTCACCGGAACTGGTCGATCCGGACGACATTCGAAAGTGCTGCCTCCGTTTTTCGCTCGCATCCAAAGCAAATTGGCTCGCCCGAGCAGTCGCATTTGGACGGCGTCATTTGTC